TTTTCCCATATTGTCTTTATTACTCTCATCCTTACTGCATTCATTTAATAGACAAATACTGAACATTTATGGTAAGCTAGGCACTGTGTTGAGTATTAGAGATACAACTGTGAGCAAAAACAGACATGGTATATGCCTCTATGGAGTTTAGTTTACCTGGAGGGTTGAAGGATTTATCATATAATACCCAAATAATTATCAAGTTATAGAATTTCAAATAAAAAATGTTATATAGGAAACATGATTTAAAGAGAGTACAGCAAGGAGACCTGGTCTTTCGAAGGAGTAGAGGAGGGCGTCCCTGGGAAGAGTTTTGGATCTGGATTTTAAAAACTGAATAAGAGTAAACTAGAGGAAGGGGGAAGAAGTGGGAAGAGAATTCTAACAGAGAAAACAGCATGTGCAAATTCCCTGAGGGAGAGTGTATCCAAAGATCTGAGAGAGGCTGTATATGTCTGGACCATAAGAAGAGAGGGTAGGGGCACCTGGGTGGCTCAGTGGGTTAAAGCCTCTGCCTTCGGCTCAGGTCATGATCCCAGGGTCCTGGGATCGAGCCCCGCATCGGGCTCTCTGCTCAGTAGGGAGCCTGCTTCCTCCTCTCTCTCTGCCTGCCTCTCTGCCTGCTTGTGATCTCTGTCTGTCAAATAAAAAATAAATAAATAAATAAAAAATAGAAGAGAGGGTAGAAGACAGTGAAGGCAGATAAGGCTGGAGAGGAGTGGCCACATGGTCAGGCCACCTAAGACCTTATTGTCACTTCAATAATTTTGGTATTTATTCTAAGGTTGTTTTTTTGTTTTTAAGATTTTACTTATTTATTTGACAGAGGGAGACATAGTGAGAGAGGGAAACACAAGCAGCAGGGGGAGAGGGAGAAGCAGGCTCCCTGCTGAGCAGGGAACCTGATGTGGGGCTTGATCCAGGCCCCTGGGATCATGACCTGAGCCGAAGGCAGATTCTTAATGACTGGGCCATGCAGGCACCCTAATTCTAAGGTTTTTAAACAAGATCAAGTGACATGATTAGAAATGCATTTTGAAAACATCATTCTTTAGCACATGGGAGAATGGATTGGAGGGGGGCAAGGATTGAAATAGTACTTCTAGGTTTCAGAAATGAGATAATGATGGTGGACATTGAGAGAAGTTGTTAGATTACAGAGACACTTAGCTTGGAAAATCATCAGACTTTGGAGATGTAGTGAATGCAGAAAGTGGAGGTGAAGGAGAGGTCTAGAATACCTTCCTAACTCTGGTTTCAACAACTGCACAAATATAAGTGCCATTAACTAGACCAGGGACAATGGAAGTGGACCACACTGGAGGAGAGAATGAGTTGAATTTGGCCTGAGAGGAGTGTGCAGTGAGCTAACTTCACACCATCTTTATTCATTCTTCACATGATTGTTCTATTTTCATCTATTAATTTCTCATTTGACAAATCATTATTAAGCACCAACTACAAGATTAAAAAATGATGATGTAGACATATAGCCTTTCAAGAACTTTACTGCCTATACAGTTCTATATCGAGAACTATGATAGAAAAAAATAAATTTTATCAAGATACAGAAGAATGCACCTCACCCAGAATTTACTTCTAAAACCTAGAAATAATATAAACAATCTCCCTGGTTCTGTACTTGTCCACCTCCAATCCATTCTCCCAAGTGCATACAGAATGATGTTTTTGAAATGCACATATAAGATTGGAAATCTTGGGATGTTTTCTGAAGGAAACGCCTCTGATGAAACCCGAAAGAAAGGAGTCTAAGGGAAAGAGTGCTCCAGACAGAGGGAAGACTCTGTACAACAGGAGTCAAGAGGGCGCTGTGAGTTAAGGTTAAAGCAGTTCATTGTGGATGAAGCACTCAACAGAGAATGGAAGCAGAAGCTAATCAGCCAGCTTCAGACTCGGCTTTATCCTGAGCACAAAGTATTTTTTTAAGACTTCTTTTCCACTTTGGTCAGTATTTATTGAACTCCTAATTTTTCTTTTTCCTCTACATTCATGTACACACACACACACACACACACACACACACACACCTATTAGTCACTTTTATTCCTAGACAAACACAATATCTGCAAAACCAAGAAGTCACATGGGATTTTGGATTGCATTTAGAAAACCAGGAAATCATATTATAAACCCTAGAGCTCATTAACCAGCTACTTCTGATTACTTTAAACCCATTAGTGTCACCTTAGGGAAACATCCATCTTTAGGGAATTTTTTTTTTTTTTTTTGTGATTACACCAATCACTTCCAAAAGGAGAGTCAGCACTCCTCAAGTCTTACTTCTACACATTCATTAAAGGGATGTTGTTCATGCGGCATGACAATTCTCAAAGCGAAAGAAATTCCCACTGCCCATGATGTTCAAGACCCTTGTTTAATTCTTCACCACCCAACTGTATAATGGCCTGAAGCCAGATTCTTAGGTTTCCTTCCTTCCAGCTATCCCTTTGCTTTATCCTTCTTGGTTCTCCTGTCTTGAAAGCTCATCTTTCACTGATCACTCTCCTATTTCAAACAATAATGCCAGGTTTTCTCATACCCTATGTCTATACACAGAAAACTACTTGTAGTTCTTCAGATACTCCCTTCTGTTTCATGCCCATATACTCTTTTTTTGCGGTGGTGGGGGGAGTGAGGGTAGAGAGGGGCAGAGGTAGACAGAGACAGAGAATCTCAAGCCGGCTGTATGCCCAGGGTGAAGACCAATGCAGGACTTGATCTCATGACCTTGAGATCACGACCTGAGTCAAAATCAAGAATGGGACTCTTAATAAACTGAGCCACCCAGGCACCCCATACCCATACACTTTTACACATAAATTATTCTCTCTTGATATCTGTTCCCCTCACTACCTACCTGGACAAATGTTATCTTTAAGACCCGTCTCAAGCATTTTTGAGTGTGTTCACTTCTTATTTTTTAGAACCTCTCTCCAAATCTGCAGTATGGAACACTCTTTCTTTTAAGTCATACCCATCATATTGTATACAATTATTTAAAATGGGCTTTCTGTCTTTAGGTTGGGATAAAGACTGTTTATCATTTTTCTTTATATCCTCTGTATCCAGACAGTGTCTGGCAAGAAGTAGACATCAAATCAGAGACTGTAAATGAATTAATTATTCAGTGAACCAATGCCCAAACATAACAAAAAAAGGCCTCTCAAATTTGTGATGGAGATGGCTGAGTACTTTTGTGATCTCACAGGCTATCATTCCTCATTTATTAAATATTTTAAAATACTTATAAAGATATGAATCTTGGTTCTATTCCCTAGAGATCCTGATGGGTGCCTAGATGCTTCTGATGTTGAGAATTCTGCTAAGAAATTTGTTCTAAAGCAAGAAAGAACATCAGGAAATGTAACCAGCACGAAGATGAGTAGTGGAAAATCTTCCTCTTCAAAGGGATACATATATCCCTTTGAAGCAAAGCAAAACCCTACGCACATACCCTATATTTCTTTGATTCTTCTAATTACCTACTTATCCATCTGATAAGTACCTATCCATCTGAAAATTGTGAGATGCTCCTGTACTGTGCTAGGTGCTCTCTTGGGCAGGTGAGAAGCAAAGAGAAAATTCTGCATGTAAACCAGACTCTACTCCAGAAGAATTTAAAACATCCAATCACTTGCCCAAGAAATTTTACAATAAACAACACAGGCATAGCAAAGTTTTAAGTTAAGAGCAGGAACATGTCAGCTTTCATCTGTCTTTTTCTCTTAAAAAATACCCATAGGTCTTGATCTTGGAGTTAACATGAAAGCTTTCCATTTCTTATTTCCTGCAGAGGATCTAACTAGAATTTTGGGGCCAGGCTGTGAGTTTCATATCTTTTTCAATGACCTTTTTCAATGTTCCCATAACGTGGCTGGGTTGGCATCAATCTGACTTTTGGAGAGTTTGGCTATTTTAGAGGCTTACAAAGTTGTTTCCCTTGCATTGTACATTATATATTTTGATGCAGAACATCTATTCCTTGATTTTTTTCTTTTCTCCTTCACCTTTCTGTTGCCTTTCTGTTGACTTTCTGTTGCCAAAACATGCCCCCAACCATATATTCCATGCAACTTGATGACTGCCCCTTGTTGTTGTTATTTTTTTCCTCAAAGTTATCAACCTATTTTTTTTTAAAAATCTGTTACCGTCTTCCTCCCCTTGGGGAAGTCCTTTTTACTGAGGCTGTCTCTATGGCTGGAGTGGGGAGAGCCAGGAATTCTGAAGTCTGGCTGAGAGCAAGGCTGGGCCAAACTTACTTATTTGCCTTTTGAGAGGCTGTTTTTGCCTAGTTGTTTACAGTTTTTGGCATGCTTTTCTCTCCTACCACTGACCCCACCATCCCAATTTCTTGTCATCGCAGAAGTTTCAGAGTCAATTCTCTATCACTTTTGCAATACCCCAAAGGCTCAATTACTCAGCCAACCTTTCCCTCTGCATGTCAAAAGTGAAAAATCACTGTTCAGAGACTGTCTGATGGAAGAGCCAGCAAGCGGGCTACTCAGGAATATGGTTTTTCCTGGGGGAACCTGGTGAGTTGCTGAAGAAAAGGAAATAGAGAAGTGAACAGATATTGATTAAAACAAACCGATGACACCTCTTTTCAATAGGGTTAAGGGTAGACCAACTTCCCTGTCTGCTGGTTAGATGATGAGCCTGAAGGGGCTCTGAGCATGCGGACTGGCAGAGCCACAAAATAGAAGGAGCCTGGGTCTCTAAATCACTGTGGAGAAGATCATTTACCCAACAAATATATGAACACATGTTCTACTGTGTCAAGCCACTGAGATATGGAGATTGTTTGTTAGAACAGTTAGCTTACCCAAATACAAAAGGGATATGAACACTCACAGGACTTTCAGGGAAGAAGGGCACTAAGCTGTTCCTTCCACATGCCAAGGACTCAAAGGCGTGCAGGAGAAGGTCTACCACAGCTGCATGTCCTTAGTAAGACAAAGGCTTTCACACGAAACACTCACTGGTGGATCCTTTGCTGGCTGAAAGGGGCAGTGTAGCAGTCATTCTCCTCCAGGTCTGGCAGTGTCTCCTTGTCCAGCCTCATGGGCTTCTTAGGTAACCATCTCCGAAACCTGCTTATTTGTTTATCGATCCTGTGGTACATGAAAGGCAAGACCAAAGGGTACAGCATGTCAGCATTGCCCCAAAATATAAGAGGGAAGCCTCCACAGAGCAATAATTATAACACCAGACACCCCAGACACTCCCACTGTACATGAGTACATGACACCCCATTTCACAGACAGAAAGAAGAGAATCTCAACTCCACTGTTTTTTCAGTCTCATTACAGGACCTCAAAATTATTGTCTATGAAATAGTGGCCAAGAGTTATATGTTCACCAACATGCCAATAAATGACCAAGCCTGGAAGGCTCTGGAAAGGAACTGGACAGTCCCTTAAGCAAAGCAGCAGAGACTTTAACTTCTTACATTCTGCAGGTTCTAGAAATTCATTCTGTATTTGGAAAATTTCCTCATCTTCTCTTGGTTATGGAAGTGCTCTAGCTGTAGTTAACATTCAGCAGGGCAGCTGACAGCACATCCCAATGGGTTGCCTGTGTGCACAGAGCATGATGTCATGATTTGCTTCCTGCCTCTCACACCTTCCCTGAGCTGCCTCTCTTCAGACATCAGGCAGTTCAGCTTTCATTCTGTCTTTTAAGCTGACTCCATGGCTCTCAAGGTACAGGGGTATGATGACGCATGTGTCAGTCTGGCCAGGGTGCACAAGGATGCAAAGTCACAGAAAACAACAGTGTTGTGAAGGTGGTTTACAAGACAGTTTTCCCCTGACCCCCTCCTGATTTCCTCTGGCTTCTGCTGATGAAAACATCTGACTTCCAAGTGACCAGATTGTCAGTTATTCACAGAAAACCACCAGAAGGAGCAAAATGCACAGCATACTTAAAAACAACTGTGCTATATCGGGTATCTATACCCACTGAAGCAAGTATCTTCCAAGAGTGCATATCAAATAGCATCTCAGTAAGGCAGAATGAACAGGTACCATACTCATTTTACACATCACAGAAGAAATCCATGGCGGGTAGGTATCCAGCTCAAATTACCCAGCCAGTGAATAAAGCCAGGAATGGAATGCAGGTTTTGGGCTCTTGATTTTAGTGATCACCCCATCAAAATAGTTGATACTAGAAATCTTAAGAACTACAGAAGTGATGGATTCTTCTAATGAAGAATATATCTAAATGACTTCTAAGTCTATTAATTACACATGGAATTTGGGTGGATTTTTTTTCCAATTCAAAAAATATTTACAAGGCAATTTATCATTTTCAATGAAATTTCCAGGTTAAGGAACTGCTTTTTCTATAACCAATCAGCTCCAAGATGAACAATAATAGGTATCTCTTTTACCACTTCTTTTATTCTCTGCAGGGTTCCACTCTCACTACAACCCCCTTCTGCCCAGTGGTGGCTGGACTTTCTTCAGAACCCCTGAAAGTTCAAAGTGGAAAGATTCTCACAACTTTTCTAGGCCCTTCCTCTCAAAGACAACTCATACCTACCACATATACACACACAGAAATAAAGATTCTACTAAAGGTCACGTGCCCAGAAAAGAATAGCAAATTGGAAGAGCCCAAAGTGGGATGAGAGGAAACCGTTCCCATCTCCTCCATCCTTCCTTCTCCTCGTCCTTTCCTCCCTCACCACTCTTTAAAAAAACTTGAAGTATAGTGACATAATATGCATCAGAGACACAGTAGAACACAGTGACTGAGAACGTGGGGTTGCAGTAATTGAATTTAAGTCCTGGTTCTGGGGGCGCCTGGGTGGCTCAGTGGGTTAAGCCTCTGCCTTTGGCTCAGGTCATGATCCCAGCGTCCTGGGATTGAGTCCCACATTGGGCTCTCTGCTCAGCGGGGAGCCTGCTTCCTGCCCCCCCCACCCCCCCCTCTCTGTCTGCCTCTCTGCCTCTGTCAAATAAATAAATAAAATCTTTAAAAAAAAATAAATCCTGGTTCTGTAAATATTAGCAGTGTGACCTTAGGTAAGTTATTTAACTTTGTTGTGCCTTAATTTCCTTTTTTATAAAAGTGGGCATGATAATATTCAATTCATAGGGTTATGGTGATTAATCAGTATGTACATAAAATCTCCAGAAGTATGGTGTACACTGAGTACCTGCTAATATTACGATCTTCCCCCCTCCAAAATAAGAATTGAACAACCAGCTTGCCTCTTAACATTTTTTTTCAATTCAAAGTTAATTGTGCTTCACTAGCATCTACAACTTATCTAAGTTCAATGATTTAGTCCTTAAATTGACTCATAAATTGTACTTCCTAGGCTAAGCTGGTGGTCTTCCCCATAACTCCTGGCTTTATTTCATCTGATTGCCTTTAAACTCATTCAAGAAAGAGGACATTGGCCCAGAGCTTTTCATAATAGAGCTTTTACTCCCACACATCTCCAGTCTGCAGCACTAATCGGATTACACTTTGCAAGGTTCACGTTCTTACAGAATCTGGGCTCTGCGTGCCATGACTATGAATTAAATCCAGTTGGGTACAGTGCTCAGTGTGGATAAAAACAAATAAAGCTGTGAAAAAGCAGGCATCAATACTCTATGGGAATGAAATGGCAGCTTTCGGCAACAGCTTACAGCACCACAATTTAAATGAAATGTGGAGATGGTGAGAAGAGAGTGGAACAGGGTAATGAAAATGATTCATTGGAAAATGAGGAGGGACCAGAAGTGGAGGGAAGAGAAGGGATGCTCCTAAAAGAAGCTGGGGTGTGGAAATGGGGTGCTTAAACCCTGGCTCTGTTGCTTATCAGCTGTGTGATCTTCCAGGAATCACTCACCTGTTTAAACCTTATTTTAAAATGTACTAATCATCATCATCAACCACCTTGCTGATGTTGTTAGGAAGCCTACACATGGTGTGCATGCAATGCTTTGGAGAAACTGCCCTGAAAGCAGTGTCATTAGCAACTTCTTAAGGACCAGGGAGGCTAATATAAAAGTGATGGAAAGCAGAGGACCTGGGCTTTTAAAACACTATGGTGGAAAAAAAGATATTCAAAAAATATCTTAAATACAAAACCCCTGAGACACTGGCTGAGGGTTGGGGTAGGTGAATAGGCCTTCAGTGGGGTAGCCTGAGGAGAAGCAGGAGGACAAATCATGGACTGTACAGGTTCTACCACATATGCTGGTCCATGCTGCTTGCTCTTCAAAATGACAGAAACAAATACTCAAATGTGGTCAGCAGTTTGTACCCTCTTCTGTTTGGCAGAATAGCTCCTGAAAGATGTGTGTATCCTAATCACTGGAACCTGTGAATATGTCATGCAACACAGCAAAGGGACTTTGCAGATGTAAGCAAGTTTATAGACCTTTGGAGAGGGAGAGCATCCTGGATTACTCAGGTGGACCCAACTTCATCATATGAGCCATTTAAAAGGAGACAACTTTGCTTAGCATAATACCCTCTAGCTAAGTGAAGTCAGTCAGTCAAAGACAAATACATGATTTCATTCATGTGCGGAACTTAAAAAACAAAACAGGTGAACACAGGGAAAGGGAGGGAAAAATAAAACAAGATAAAATCAGAGACAGGGACAAACTATAAGAGACTCTAAACTCTAGGAAATAAACAGGATTTCTGGAAAGAAGGTGGGTGGGGGAACAGGGACTGGATGATGGGCATTAAGGAGGGCACTTGATGTAATGAGCACTGCATGTTGTAAGTCACTGATAAATGACTAAATTTTACCCCTGAAACTAATAATACACTGTATGTTAATTAAATTGATTTTAAATAGAAAAATAAATAAAAGGAGAGATTTTTCTCTATCTAGACATAGCAAAGCCGGCAGCCAGGGAGTGCAAACAGCCTCTAGAAGCTGAAAATGACCTTTGTCTAAGAGTCCTAAAGAATCTGCACAGAACTGAATTGTGCCAGCAACCTGAACAAGTCTAAAGATTATTCTCCCTCATGGCCTCAAGAAGAGCCTTAGCCAACCAACACCTTGACATTAGCCTTGAGAGACCCTGAGCAGAGAAATCAATTAAGCCTCTTCCCCTAGACTACTGACCTGCAAAATTATAAGATGATAAATTTGTGTTGTTTTATGCAGCTAAATTTGCAGGAATCTGTTACAAGAGCAATAGGAATTTAATACACCTCTGAAAACAGTCTTGATCTGATCTTCTCCTTGAGACCTGGCCATGGCTGGTCAGGCTCCCTATGCTGAGGCTAACACTCCACATGCTACTCCACCTGCCAGTCCAGTGGCTCTGGGAACAAGGATCTGCTTCTCTGTGGCTGGATGACTATTGGCCACTCTTCAACAAATACTCTCATACCAAACTTGCTACTTAGGAATTGCTGAGGATCCTCTTCAACAGTGCAAGATAAAAACACATAGTGCAAGAACCACCAGGCTAGAAAGCATGAGACCCACGTTGGGTTTCTGATTCTGCTGTTTTTTAGATACTACATGTTGCTGGTGATTTGGGCAATAGTATCTTGGCTATATCCTAAACAAACTTAGTTAATAGAGAGCTTTCCTTTTCACAATATAATGGATAACCTTTCATACAGATGAAGGACTCTGAAGTTGAAGTAGGTTCACAATTTGTTGTACATCTCTCTAGTGATGAGTGCTATGCTGGGTAAGTGACTAAACCTCTTTGAGTGAATGCACCTGTTTCATGAGTCAGTGGTGAGAACTTACACAAGATAACAAATATCAGGTGTCTGCTCATTGCCTTATATGTACAAAATGCTCAGTTCAGTGGTGGTGTCTAGGATGAAGAAGATGATGAGGATGATAAACTCTTATGTAGAGTTATCAATGGGAATTCAAGAACTAAGATTCTCACTTCTATATTGAGGTCTGTGCCCCCATCTCCATCTAATAAACTTCCCTAAAGAGGCAATCCTGAAATTCTCTTAAGTTACAGAGTTGAGGAACCAACTAACTAGAAAGTATCCAATTTGTCTCTTAAATATAGGAATTGGGCATACTTAATAAAGTCTTCACTGACTGGGAAAAGCAAAGAGAAAATGTTGACTTATTGATTTAGTATTGATTTTGGTTGGACACATTGTCACTGTTCTATTTCTGCCATTTATTGAGCAAAATCCCTCTTATAGAATATATAGGCAAATCAGTAAGGAGACAATGGATCAGTCATCCACTTGGGCATTTCTAGCCTTAACTTGTCAAGCAAGTATCTGGACTAAAAGACGGGTATTTTTATAGAAAGTTGTTATTACAGTAAGTTCAGCCACCACCACCCCACCCCTGCCAAGTTCTGGCTCATGACAGGTCAGATCCGGCATGGCTGGAAAGAGTTGGCAGCCCAGCACAGGCAGATGGGCACAGACTGCCCATTCTGGTGTGCTGCACCTACCCAGGCTGTGCCTTGGAAATGTGCTGTGGGAAGGTGCTGCTTGAACCTCTTTGATCCTTGGTTCTCCCAGCTGCCAAGGGAAGACTATCCTATTCACCTTAGGAGTGGTGATAATTAAAGGCCACATGCCAAAGGGCTTCACTCCCCACATACTAAGCCATCAGTAGGCGCCTTTATAAATTACCTGCTATGTGCAGAGCCCCAACCTGGATGCTGTGGGTATACCCTGAAGAAGACCAAGGTCTTTCCCTTGAGCCACCAGGACCCAGGAGGGAGTTTGTACTGACAACTTAATTAGGCTAAATTAAATTAAATAGGCTACTTCAGAGACACCTGCTTTTCCCCAGACCAGAATAGTATAATAGCATCACATTTCTAACAGATTACACTTTCAGGGATGATATACCTAGAGGGAACATACAGATAAACTTTTCTTTCTTTCTTTCTTTCTTTCTTTCTTTCTTTCTTTCTTTCTTTCTTTCTTTCTTTCTTTCTTTCTTTCTTTCTTTTCTTCTTCTTTTTTTTTTTTTTAAAGTGGAGGCACCACACAGAGCCCTATATTGTAATAAATGAAGCCCTCCTGGACTGATAACAGTTAGACAGCAGGAGCCTTGAATTTCTTTTTCCTCTTCTGAGAGCCAAGTCTCCTATATTTATAGCCTCTCCTTGGATAGGAGTTAGGATTCTTTTAGGTCACAAGGCTACTAACTGGGGCGCAACCTAAATATCTCATAGCAGATTGCAAAGGCTTTGGAATATTTACATATATTAATTTTTAAATACTAGGATGGAAAATACAAGTCATTTTGTCATTTACCTGTATATGAAACTGATAAGACTGCAACTGCACTGAATGTATCATGTAGCAGGGGCAGCAGACATTTTGCCAAATGACTACAAAGGATAACATGAGGTAGGTGCATATGGGGGAGTGGATGGAAAGGAATGAGAAGTAATGAGACGTTAGCTACAAACCACTGACCATAATCTAATTTGTTCCTTTGTAATCACATCTTCTACTGACTATATTTGCAGTATTTGGCAAAGGCAAAAAAAGGGGGAGGGGGGCAAAAGACGGATGATAAATTCCCTCTCTTTATTGGATAGACAATTTATAAGGCCTATAAATCTTCTCAAAGAGTCAAAGGAGCATTTAATGGACCAAGTACATGATGAAAATAGCATATAATCGAAAAATATAAATCTGAACTACATGAGTGTATTTTATGGGAGTCAGGTGATTCTCAAAAATAAAGATATTTGTGAAAAGATGCTTTATGTCTCTGCCTGCTCAGAAATTTTATAATATAATTTCCCTTGGCTTTAAAGGAGATAAGCTTGTTTTAGGGAGGCTTTTGCAAAGTAATGAAATTATTATTTAAGTGGATGAAACTAAAACCTAAATTGAATATCCATATTTAGTATGACAAGAGAATTTTAGAATACTGAGTCAATGTTTTATTACTAGTGTACAACCAGGACAGCCAGATATAGATATGCCCTTCAATTTGGTCTATCAGAGCTGTCTACAAAGAGATACTTTCCATTGTCTAAATCTGTCCTGAGGTGAAACAAGACTTAAAATAGATACCAAAATTTCTGACAAACTGCACTTTAAAAATGACATCGAACATTGGGCTTCACTAAGGTATACCACTACAGTGATGTGGCAAGCAATGAATGTCTTAGAAGGCAATCTGAATTGATGGGTCATACTACCACAGTTAGTTAGGATTTCTTTTCCCTTCATTCGTCTGAGTCTTCCAGTGACTTCCAATGCCCAAATTCTTTTATAGTTATGATTTATGCACTCTTATGGCTTGACTTTTTCAGGCCAAAGATGACTGTTCAGTAAATTGTACTTTCAGTTCAAGAAACAAGGATTTCCCAAACTCCTACTCACTCAAAACCACTCTGCAGCTCATGGAGAATATGTGATTGGTCCCTTGTCACACAGTCTCCTCTCCTCTGCTTCCTTTCTCTTGGCTACTGTTCTTAAGCCTGTCCCTTCTCTATTTTCCTCTGTCTCAAAATTTATGAGGGTAGTATTGAACCCTCACTGCCTCTAATTCATCAGGGCCTTCCATTCCCCACCAGCTGTAATTTGGTTTCTATTACCCTCCTCTCTGCAGTCCTCATTCTCACTACTAGTCCCAGATTAGCAACATTAGCATCACTTAGGATCTTGATAGAGGTGCAAAATATTGTGCCTCACCTCAGAAACTCGTGGAATGGGCTAGATAAGCGGAGTACTAAAAAACCCTGAAGATAATCCTGAGGTCCACTCAACTTTGAGAGCCATTTCTCATGGAGACTGCTATCATGGCAGTTATCACTAACTTCTAAATATTAAAAATCGATTCTCATCTCTCAGCCTCCATCAGAAGTTGAAGAACACCCATTATTATGGGAACTCTTTCCTGGTCCCCTAGACATTGTCCTCCCTTAGGTTGCCTCCTTCTTAAATTATTATTTTTCATCTTCCTTCCATCTCCTCCTGCCTTCTTAACGAGATTTTCCAAGGACTTGCCATTGGCCTTCTTTTTGCATTTTAGTCCTTCCCTGGGGAACGCTATCCAGTCCTCTTGCTCAAGTCATGACTTCTATACTTCAGACTCCCAAATTGGATTCTCTAGCCTTGCTCTCAATTGCTTTGCCATCAATAGCCTTGTTTTTCTCAATTGCTTTGCCATCATTTCCAGAGGGTCTCAGGACACCTATGTGTCAAAGACCTACTGTGAGTTATAATACAGGATTATTAAAACAAAAATCATCATCTTTCTCACCATAGCCATGTCTCTTCTGAATTTCCACTCTCCTTTTACCTTCGACATTTTTCCAATTCCTTAGATATGGAAACCTCTTTCTCTCCCCCCTCTCTCAATTTCCAAATACTTGCTAAGTCTTTTTCCTATAATTTCACAATCTTTCTCATACATTTTGCCTTTTTGCTCTGTAGATTATTTTTCATCTATCCAGGGAGAACTGTAATCTGGATGTTCTTTGGAGTAAAAACTGAAGGGACAGAGAGATTATGGCTTATTTTAAGGAAGAATTTCCTAAAAGTCAGGTACCCACAGTTGTGTTCTGAAATTCCCTATCTCACAGATGTTCAAACATGAGCTGGTTGACCATTTAGCAGAGGTTCAGGTATCTGCTGAATGGCTGAACTTGATGACATTTGATGTCCAATCCAAGTTTGAGATTTATGGTTCCTTTTACCACCATTTTCTTTCAAGCCCTCATTGCTCACCCCTCCTCCATAGTGAGGACAAATGTTTCAGTTCCAAGTCTGTGTCTGACAATGCAGGCACACTGGTTTTTCTATGCTTTTCTTTGTGACCTCCTTTTTCCTCATTCAAATCTTCTCACATGTGTAGAGATTCATTTGCCCATTCACCCCACCTATTATGTGCTAGGTACCGGAAATATAGAATTGGATAAGCCATCCTTGCCTTTACATACTATCCAGATGGAGAGATGGACATCAACACCATAGATTAGAGGACAGGTCTAGCAATCTTGTGTTTTAATAAGCCCTCCAGGTTATTCTGATGCTGGTTAAAGTTTGAAAACTATGGAGGACTACTGATACAGGCTAATGTGTTATCTTAGGATTTTATAGAGGGTCATTATATGACAAGGGACTAATCTAAATCATTGGTGATTTAAATCATGGTGAATCCAAATGCCATGGCTACAGTCTAAGCAAAGAGCACTGATAAGTAAAGGTATTGCACAGGGAAATTTTGGAAAACACATCTTGGTTTCTTTGGATGTCAATTCTTATATCATACTTTATTGAGTGTACGTGTATTTGAGTAAACCCACTAGAATATGTCAATTACTCTTATATTCTGCACAGCACATAAACAGAGCAAACCTGAATCTTAATTCTCACAGAACTGAAAAAAAAAGATTTTCAGAAAAATGCAATGGTCTCCAAATTTAACCATTAGCTCAGCTCAGGGTAAATGATCACATAAGACCAATTAAAATTTTAAAATTAGATTTCCAGTGATCACAATAGAATAGAATTATAGGACATCATTGATGCTTTCCCCTTGCTCCCTAACATCTCAAAAAATTAAGAAACAAACTTTAGAAAGATACATAGTACATTAAAGGTAATCTTAGCCAGTAGAATTTTGGGTGGGTTGGGGAGGCTAAAAGAAAAAAAAAGGTAGGAAGGGCTTCTGATAAGGTAATACATCTGCATACTTTATTAACAAAATGTTACTAACATAGGAGGGCCACACCCATGGGGGGTGGGCTAGACAGCTATCAGCTTTTTGAGATGTTGATTATCTATACTTCAAGATTTCAAGTTACTTATGGTGGAGGGTGGGATTGTGTAGAAAAAAATAACTTTCAGACCAAAGATGTGCTGAACATCTGGGTTTTTTGGTAATTTATCTAATAGAATAGGCTAAAGACAAAAAACAGCCCCAACACAACTGCAGATAAATTCTGTCCTTCCGAGTGTGGAGAAATCATAGGAAAGATTCTGAGAGAAACATTTCCATCTTGCTTTTTTCTTTTCAGGCTAACCTGAAATAGCAATTTTTGGATTGCCCATGGCAACCACTTTTCCCATGGGACAAAGGCCCATCCTCCCCTGCTGTATTCCTTGTCATTGTTGGAACAAACAGGCCAACATATCAAACACATCATGACAGAGCATGCTACTAACCTGCTCATGAACTTGTACCGGCGGGGCAGGTAATAGATTTTTCTCCTGGAAGAACAGCAAAAATGAAGCCAGTCGAGAAGAAAACCCATCGTCAGTTACAGTTTGAACTAGCAAGGAAGGAAAGGAGATTGAAGATAGAAGCCTGTAAGAGGTGAAGAAGAAAAAACTAAAAAGAGATTAACAGTGAGAAATGTAGTGGGAACATAGGGCATGCATTTGAGTCATGAAATCTTATGAAATACTGTCCATTGATATTTCTTCATCTCATTATCATAATTTTTTTTTTTTTTTTTTTTTTTTTTTTTGGTCATTCCTTACCTACATAGCCAGTGCAGAGCAATGATTTGGAGCAATTGGTATTTGTATGAATTTAGCTGAGGTCAGCTTTTTTTCAAGGAATGAAGAAATAGATTGCCAGCTGGCTGGCAACATGTACAATTTAATGGACATACTATTATATTAACTAATATTTACAGAGCACTTTAGTTTACAGAACCCTTCTCTCCTTTGATATAGGCAGGGTAATATAAAAAGGTGTATTTTACAACCAGTATGGGAAGAACACTAATCAGGATCAACATCCTGCTGCAAATAACCACACTAGTGAATATTACCTAAACACTGGCCCTAATATAGGTGAGTTAAATAGATAAAACAAAGAATCTTGGAAAAAATCTGTTAAAAGTGAGACTCTATTAAAAGTGAGACTGAGACAAACCGTAAGAGACTCTTAATCTCACAAAACAAACTGAGGGTTGCCGGGGGGAGGGGGGATCAGGAGAGCGTGGTGGAGTTATGGACATTGGGGAAAGTATGTGCTATGGTGAGTGCTGTGAAGTGTGTAAACCTGGCAATTCACAGATCTGTACCCCTAGGGTTAATAATACATTATATGTTAATAAAAAAATTAAAAAATTATAAAAAAATGTGAGACTGTTAAGGACGTGTTGTACTTCTTTATATCTACATTTTTAAAGCATTACAGATTAAAATTTAGGATGTAATTTGAATGGGGAGTGTATGGTTTAGATATTTTAAAAAAATTGCAGTCAGCCTTTCCATAGTTTGGGCTTCTACCAATGGAGTAGTAATGAAACTGATGTGGTTTATATGTATTCTAATACTGAGCTCTCTCACTTATGGAAAATGGGAAGTCTACATATAACTTTCTTTGTATATCTGTGAAAACTTAAAAATATATTCATGTTTTTAATAGGTAAAACAATGGAGACAATAAGAAGCAGTGGTTGTTAGGGGTTTGTTCTGGGGTGGGCAGCACAAGGGATGGACAGATGAAATTAGGGCAGTGAAATCATTCTGTGTGATACATAACGGTGGATACATGATATTATGGATTTCTCAAGACCCACAGAACTATACAACTCAAAGAGTGAACCCTAAACTAAACTATAGACTTCAGATAATAATAATAATACATCAACATTGGTCCATTAATTGTAACAAATATACCACATTAATGCAACATGGTAACAATAAGGAAACTATGAATGGGGTGAGAAAGGATATATGGGAACACTGTACTATCAACTCAAATTTCTATAAACTTAAAAATGCCCTAAAATTAGTCAATTAAAAAGAGTCCATATCCATGGACATATAGGTACTTAAGAAGCAAATTTTGTTTACAACTTCCCATAAGAAAATTATTCTTCAACTTTGTTTCAAACATTATAGGAATAAAAATCCAAGAAGACTAAACCTGGGATTCAAAAGTGTAATCTACAGAAAAAAAATAAATACACATAACATTCTTTGAGGCATCTACATGTAGCCAAACTGATATTTGTACATTTTGTTGAAGTGATATGGCAGAAAAATTCCTCCTTTGGATTACATAGATCTTCTTAGGCTACAGTTATTTATCTGAAACACTGGATAAAATAATAGCACACACTTTAAGTGTATCAGGTTGTAGCTAGTGAAGCTATGTTTAGGTAAAATCACATCAATATTTATGAGAGCAATTAGTGTCCACACATAAACAGTATTGTCTCCTAAAACTGTCCTGCAGAAACACCTACATTTAAAAAGAACATTATTCATAGTTATTGTGATTATCATTTATTCCCTGGATCACATTCTCTTAATAAGGGAAGTATTAATGTTGCTTGAAGGCAGCACTTCCTTGCTATGTAATGAACATATAGGAGTGTTAGCTATAATACAGTCAGGCCCTTCATATATGATGTGCTTCCAGGAACTTGCTGTGCGCTAACACTCCTCAAGTTTGTACAATCTGCTTAGGTTCTTGGCTTGAAAAGTGTGTTCTGGAGGAAGGTTTTGTGAGATTGCTCGGAGGGAAATGTATCAATTTCACTAAGTTTTACTATCACACTTACATCAGAATGTAGACTTTTGATTGTTGGCTATAAGATGTTGGTCTGATATATGTGACTGTATCTAAGCACAGATTTCATTTTCCTTTTGGCTTTTATGTGTAATATAGCATTAATCCATAGTGGACAGTTATAGCATTGATAAATAACTGGCTTTAATTATAACTATAGTAAATAAGTTTCAATGGAAACTAAATTGATAAATGACTCAAGTGATTTTATATATTTTTTAATTCTTGGGTTCTCAGATTTCTTTGTTACATTTTAAATACAAAAGTAAATCAAAAGTTCAGAACTATGGTTATCTCAATTCCCTTGAGAATTTTGCCTCAACATAAACAGATGCTAGAAATCCCAGCCTGTATTTTGACTTGGTATTAGAATATAAAGGCCAATAAACAAAGAAAATAAGATACACCAGGGAGACACATTACAGACCTCTGAATGGAAATTGCCCTTCTCTAAATGTGTCCCTAGCGCCTGTCTCTATAATTTTCCACAGCTTATTAAGAGGTATATTTTAGAATTGGCACCAGTTTGCCTGGTTTCTGTCAACTGACTTGCTCTTATGTGCAAATTGTGAATCAAAAGTATTTAATTCTTTATTCCCACTAGAACTGTCCTTGGTACTAAATGCCTCCATCTCCTTTAGATGATTCCATTATTTACTTCCCACATATCTTGGCATTTATAATTTCAAGTTTAATACTTCAGCAAATGCAGATCACTTTTCCTTAATCTTTATGGAAAATATGAATATTCACTATGAGATGAAGGTAAATTAATCCTTTAAATAACTAAACAATCCACATAAACTATTATCTAATTACCCTTGGGAAAAATACCAATGCTTGTGCTTGTACAGTATTTATGACCTGACTTTTTTAAAATTTAAAAATTTAAAAATTATTTCAAAAGTGTATCACATTTTTATGAAATTTCTTGAACTTGCTTTATTGGAACCAGATTTGAATGTCAGTAAAGACCTGCACCATTGATGTCTAGAGTATGGCCATTCAAAGCAGCAACACACAGGGCTTCTGAAAATGGCATTTTGGAAATGAAAATCCTACTTGAAAAATGCTTCTTTCTCACAGGCACTTGACATATCTACCTACTAAGGACTGAATTAGCCAGGAATTTTCACAAAAAGTCATGAAGTCATTAGAAGTCATGAAGACTTACACATTTCCTAAATATTTTAAGAATCCTCTCCAATACTATTCCAGTCTGCATTTCAGTTTTATTTGTTTCAAGAGAGGAGCATATTAGTTTTACAGGGAAGCAGCAGAGAGTAGGGAAATACATATTTACACCTACCTGAAAGGCATTCTTACATTCATTTGTTCTGCATATCTTCCAAGCACTTCCCATGGGGCATGCAACTTCACAAAGATAATGTCACTATTTATTAGAGAGGACTGTAACAGAAAAAAGAAACTAAATTGAAAAGTATATCCAAGTCTCCTATGGTTTAAATTGAATTGGAACTTAGAACACATGAACCTATATGGAGTTTAAGATTTGGGGCATTCTTCAGCAAAAAATTGGGTCCTTACATGTGCATCTGGTCATTCAAAAAATATACCACTGTGTGTCAGGCACTGGAGACCCAGCTGTGAACAAAAGAGATATGAATGGCATTTACATTCTGCAAACTTACAAGCAAAAAAAGAAATAGGCAAAAAAAAGTTTAAAAGAAAGGGATGAATTCAGGTACTGATGAATGTTCTGAAGATAACAAAGATAATGGGAGAAGTTATAGGGATGGGGTCACACACTACTTTGGGCAAGGGGTTCATAAAAGGCTCCTCTGCAAAGAGCACATACAAATTTGAGACACAAAAGAGCCAGGGCTGGGAAAAAGCATGGGATGAGTGATCTAGGTACAAAGACCCTAAGCTGGGAAATTGCTTGGTGTGTCTGATGTTCTAAGGGCAATAAGGAGAGCAGGGTGGCTGGAGTGTATACATCATGAAAATTAGCATAAGAGGCTAAAAAGGTGAGAGGAGTCAGTCTGTGCAGTGCTTTACCAGCCCCAACAGGACAATTGGATCCTATTTTAGGAACACTGGGAAGTCATTTTGATTTAGGCTTTCAAAGATCACTATGGCTGCTGCATGGAGAAAATAATGTAAGGGAGGAGAGCTGCAGCAAAATCAGAGAGAAGAGATGCTTTCAACGAACCAGGCAAAAGCCAAAAATTGGTGGTGGTGCAGAAGGAGGGACTTGACGTGAGTCTTGACTCTGGGTCAGTGTCAGAAAAGGCTTTTTCAAAGGACTGTGTTCTTTGGCCCAAAACTTTTGCCTCCTCTTGGGCTTTTAATCAATACAGCACATAGAGAGGGAAGTAAACTATGACTTTACATTTTATTTTTTAAGAGATTTTATTTATTTGAGAGACAGAGAATGAGCAAGGAACAGCGCAAGCCGAGGGAGGGCCAGAGGGAGGCGGAGAAGCAGACTCCTTGCTGAGCAGGGAGCCTGATGTGGGACTCAATCCCACGACCCTGGAATCATGGCCTGAGCTGAAGGCAGACACTTAACCAACTGAGCCACCAAACCACCAAGGACTTTGCATTTTAAAAACCACCCAACAAGGCATTTTAAAAACCACCCAACAAGGCCAAAGGGAATTCTCCAATTAGATTTTCTTTGGAAGTTATTTCCCGGGGGAGAGCTGGGTTGTGGAAGGAGGCAGAAGAAAAATGAGAAAATAGTGAGCCAAACCAGCTTAAACCAGCAAAATGGACTATTATTTATCCATATCTTTTTCACACAGGCTCATTCTGGACTGCATGCCATTTAAATTTTTATAGTATAAGAATGTCAACAGATGTGTTAGGCTTTTGTGATTAACCTCTCCTTGTAACGGTATTCATAAACAATCCAATAGTTTCACACGCTGGCAAAAATAGAAGCCCAAATTTATGGGGTAAATTTGCACTATAGGGAATTGTTTTTAAATTCCAGATGATGTGCAATTGCAATTCATTGCTCAAATTCTCATTCAAAGTCATCTTGCTGGTCTTATAAATATTGTACTTAATTTATAAGAATTCTTCACGATATTATGAAAATCAAATTGGTATCAACTACAAACTTCCCAAGGACTCTGACAGGACTGAATTTCCCAAAAGGAGGAGGGCCTGGGCCCAAATCCACCATGGTGAAGGGCACCCTTTGATATTGGTCTAAAAAACCAAACATTCTGGCAATTCAGGCTGAAATGAAGTTGTATATTCTAGCTTGGGACAAGCAGACCTCTGACTGTAAGTCTCCTAAAAACAAGGAAAGTTTCTGTTATTCACAGTAAAATCCTCTGGGTCTAGCACAATGCCTGGTCCAGAGGGAGCACACAACCAATACTTTTCTAATTCAGAATATGGTTAGTGAAATGTGGACAGTTAGTCCTGGCCCCGATGTTTGTCCTATGAAGCAAGAAGTAACTGCAGATGAAGTGACTCTTAGAGCCAACATATCTGGTAACTGCAAATGAGGAGCCCATCCAGAGCACAGACAAGCTAGTACACTGAAGATGTGATGGACCAGTGCTGGGTCTCTTTGCATGAACTGGTTTTCTATTTAGTAACTCATTATATCCAATCCTCTCTATACTGGGTGCTTAGAGCTTTTGTACCCAGGGTGAGTGTGAATGAGCTCACAGATGTCAGTGTCCATACAGAACATGGAGAAATAGCACACACCCACGAAAATCTCCATCCTGTCCCATTCATGTCTGCAGATGCAGATCTGAGATGGTCTCAGCTTATAAGTTGATATTTTTGTACATCGGAAAATATTGACACTTGTTTTCCAATATATAGTATAGTTATCTAAGTTATAAAACAAAAGAAAGACTTTATTTTCTTTAAAAAAAGGATCTTATTGTTTATATTAAAGACATACTTTAGAGTCTGGGAAGGTTTTGTGGCTCTCCCACCTAAAAATGTTAATTGTGTAATGGGAATTTAAACTCAGATTTCCCACAAGGTTCTACATTCACTTGTTCTTTCTTCTCTCATCTTCCTATGATACCAGAGGGAAACTGTACAACAAGGAATATGGGAACGTGAATGATTCACAGACTCAATTGAACTATGATTTATAGCAGAATATCATCTTAGGATATACTCTCTCCATGAAATTATTGTAATTGCTAGGTTTACAGAAAGTAAATACAGTAGAAGACAAATCATTTTGTGTATCTCCATGAATATATGAAAACATTAAAGAGAAATCATTAAAATATTTCTACTTAGGGCACATTTTAAATGCTACAGTTCTGTGCGTGGAAAAGCCAAGTTCATTACCTGAACGCACACAAAATCAACTAAAATTCTAATGTGGGATCTCTTCCATTTTCTGCATAAAATTATAGCTGTTTTGATTTATTCAGCATGATAAAAATAACTTCATTTTGCTTATTTCAATTATAACAATAATTAATTATAAAGCCATCACTTTACTATTATCTTCCAGACCTTTGTAATTTTGGAAGCACTCTGACATTGTTACCTCATTTTATTCCTACATAAACCTTGTAACAGAGGCTTTTTCTTTTTATTTCTTAGAGGCGGAGAGAGAGAGTGGCCAAGTAATTCACTCGTAGCCAAACTGAACATTTATCCCAGATACAGTTAACACTCACATCCCTTGGCTCCCTTGTCAATTCTACCTAGTAAATTCTGAGGTTTAAATAAATCCATGGCTTTGTACATACATTGAATATACCTAATTTCTGAACTGTTCTTTTATTAGTTTATAAAAAATAAACTGAGTTCTATATCTTAGAAAACAAAGCAACAAAAATGAAGCAATATTAAGCTATTAAGAATGGAAATTTTATTTGAGACAATTAAAAGTTATTTTTATAATCTTGAGAAAATGTTAGCTGAATTCCCTTGGATGACGATGGATGTCTATTCATAGGCTGTGTGTGTGTGACTTATTACTTGCATTCAATTTTTCAAGGAGGAACTGAACTTCAGCCCAGAAAAATAAATATGAAACAGATTACTGCTAATTATATGGCTCATATATCACTCTTTTCTCTACCACTGAATGATTACACTACATTTCTAAATAGGTTTTTCCTCATTATTAAGCATTCCTTTCCACATAAATCCAAGGGTGCAAATGACAAAGCGAAGAGAAATGAAAATGCTTTTTGGAAACAGAGTTTCATTAATATCCCATCCCTTAGGTTAGAAACATGGGAAGAAGAAAAATGGCCAGTTAGAGGAGTTTAGAAAACATCCTGAGAAATTAAGAAGTAGAATGGAAACTATCTGCAGTAGAAATAGATAACATTCACAGAAAACATTCCTTCTTTCTTTCCTTCATTCAACAAGATCCTTTCAACACCTTCTAGGCATTTGATGCTAGGAATGCAGGATAATATATGTCCTGGTCCTTGCCTGGGTATGCCACGATTTAGTAAGGGAAGGTTAGATCAAACAATAGCAAGGAAAAGAAGAAATATCATGCCATTTTCTAATTCAGGCCATCTCTCTAAGACACATGTATGGATGTACACATATTTACATCTCATGACCCCTGATACCGTTGCTGAGAAGGAGATGCTGCTGGAGTGACAGGTTTGGAAGTGGGGGATAGAGATAAGCACAAACTCAGTTTTGGAAATGTTAGGTTGCTGTTACCTATGAAAAGATGCCTGTGGGTAGTTAAGATAAATTAGTCTGGAGTGCAGGGGAGCAGTCTGGGCCAGAGATATAAAGCAAGCATGGCCAGGACATAGATGGTACTTAAATCTACGGGATTTGAAGAGGTCACTTTGAGAGCCAGCGTAGGGCTACATGGGTAGTTGAACGTCAGAGGTTAATTTAAGAATGCAGCCCCTGCATTTGAATCTTTGGAGTAAATACCTAGTAGTCCAATTTCTGGGTCATAAGGTAAGTCTTTTTTTAATTTTTTGAGGAACCTCCATACTGTTTTCTAGAGTGGTTTCACTAGTTTGCATTCTCACCAGTAGTGTAAGAAGGTGCCGGCACCCCAATGTTTATCGCAGCAATATCCACAATAGCCATACTATGGAAAGAACCCAGATACCTATCCACAGATGAATGGATAAAGAAAATGTGGTATTTATATATAATGGAATATTACTCAGCAATCAAAAGGAATGAAATCTTGCCATTTGCAACAACAAGGATGGAACTATAGGGTATTATGCTAAGTGAAATAAGTCAGTCAGAGAAAGACAATTATCATATGATTTCTCTCATACATGGAATTTAAGAAACAAAACAGATGAACATAGGGAAAGGGAAGGAAAAATAAAATAAGACAAAATCAGAGAGGGATATAAACCATAAGAGACTCTTAGCTCTATGAAACAACTGAGGGTTGCTGTGGGGGATGGGGTAACTGAGTGATAGGAATTAAGTAATGTACAGAA